AAAATGAATTAGAATTCAATTTGAAAAAGCTTAAAATAGATATCTGCATTTTAAGCGAAATTTTTAATATCGATGAAAGCCAGAACAAAACGTCAATTCGAGGATACACAATTGAGTCGAAAAAAAGAGGAGATAATTATGGAGGTGTTGCCATCTTATTCAAAAATCCAATAAAGTTCAAAAGAATTGCATATAACACTACGTTAGACATTTTGATTTGCCAAACAACAAATTTATCTAATAACCTGATAATAGTTTCAGTCTATTTTCCACATACCATAAAAAGCAACACTATGAAAACGGAATTAGAAAATCTTATTTCATTCCTAGAAAACAAACAAAATGTACTTATTTGCGGAGACTTCAATGCAAGGCATTCCGCCTATGGTGATAAATTTAACTCTTTACGTGGAAACACTGTTAAATCTTTATTCGATTCATCCCTTTTTAGAAGTATAAATGATGGAAACATTACCTTTAAACGGAATTTGAGCGACATCTCAGGCTCAGTCCTAGATCTATCTTTCACAAACTCAATACTAAATATTTCGTGGGTTGTACTAACGACTAATATTGGAGGCAGCCACCATTTCCCTATACTTATGGATATTAAACAGACCAACATGAAAGGTCAAGTATTTTTAGCCAAGAAAAAACTTCTAAATAATATAAACAATTTAAACCTCAATGACAACATTCAACAAATACAAGGATCTCTCAGCTCAGAGATAAGAAACGCAACATATGTAATTTCGGATGAAAGAACACCAAAGCCCTGGTGGGATTCCACTGTTGAAAAAACATACAGGCTGCAACTTGTCGCTCAAAAACGGTTCGACGCTCTCAACAATAACATAAATGCAAAAACCCTTATTGAAGCTAGGAAAAATTTTAAAAACGCAATCAAGTATGCAAAAAAACACTCCATCAAATCTAAAATCGAAGACTTAAGTCAAACGCCGAACACAAAAAATCTCTTCAGATTCGTCAATGGATGTAAATCGTCTCTCTCAGGAGGAACCCAAACAAGGTGGTCAGAAGACAACAACAAAAACTTCCTAGCCCATCTCAGTAACCAAGTTCCAGACAACCGTCCAATTGATTTCACTCCAACACCGCCAGTTACAGTTCAGGTTTTTACAGAAGAAGAATTTGCAAAGGTATTGGAAAAGAAGAAAAAACCATCAGCTGCAGGTATTGACGGCGTGACATATGAAATGATAAGTAATCTTTCAAAATCGTCAAAATCAAATCTTCTTAAAGCGTTTAATATAAGTTGGAGAAACTGTGATATTCAAGATGAATGGAGGAAAATTAAAATTGTGCCCATTCCCAAAAAAGGAAAAGATCTCGAAATTTTTTCTAACTACCGCACTATAGCATTGCTTTCCGTTTTTATAAAAATCATCAATCTCATGGTAAAAGAACGCTTGCAAAACTTTATTGAAAGCAACTCATTCCTTCCACAAAACTCCTATGCGTATAGGAAAAATATGTCCGCATCCATGTGCATCAATAATATCCTGTTTACAATTAATTATCACAAGGAAAGAGGTGAGAAAACAATTTTAATGTCTCTGGACGTATCTCAGGCATATGACTGTGTTAAAATTGAAATACTGCATAAAATATTAACTGAGCTGAATATTCCAACTGATTTGATAAATTGGACCACTAATTTTCTCAAGGTCAGAACTCTCATCATGGGTAAAGATTTCTTAGACATTTATAATGGTTTACCCCAAGGCAGCTGTTTAAGCCCAACACTGTTTAACTTATACACTCTTGGTCTGCACGGTATATCTGATCCAAACACCTACGTTTTTCAATTCGCAGATGATTTCATTATTCTTTCCGTTCATAAAACTTTTGAAAAGGCTAACAATAATCTTCAAACTAAAGTTAATCAATTTTATAGACTACTTTCTAATCTCAACTTGAAATGCAACCAAGAAAAAACATCTGTAATGTACGTAGCAAAAGGAGCAAGAAAAGAACCTCTCATTCTTATTCAAGGAAGAAAAATAAATGCTGTTAAAAGTGTAAAATTTCTAAGAAGATACATAAAAAACAGCCTAACAACAAAAGATCACTATGAAGAAATTATAAAATCATCGAATAACACGCTTAATGCATTAAAAATTATTAACTCTTCAAGATTTGGTATTCATCCCAAGGTTGCTACGAATTTGTCAAAATCGTTGTTGTTCTCAAAAATTGAATATTCAATATCGTCGATGGCACATATGCCGACGTATATCAATAAAAAAGTCACCAGCTTCCAAAACCAAATTTTAAGAAAAAATCTTGGGCTCACACCATCTACTCCAATTCAAATCTTATACGCGCTTGCCTTAGTCCTGCCTCCACAACAGCGTTCACAATACCTGGCTGCAAAAGAACTCATCAAGTTTAAAATAGCACAACCCATCATATATTCCAATATCGTGTCTCTATCCACTGCAAAAACAAGTCTTGGGCTTATCTACAATAAATTCCAACCCATTTTTGATAATTTGGTAATTAACAAATCCGAAAAACCGTCAACAAAATTCACATTTTTAATTGACATCTTCCAAGCATCTAAAAGTCAAATACCAAATGAATGCTTTCGGGCCATTATACAGCAAAAAATCAATCAATTTAAAAACAGTGGATACTCCATATGGGCTACCGATGCATCAATTACAAATACTGGTACAGGTTGTGCTGCATGTCACATATCTTCGGGAGAAAACTTTCTATTCAACATTTCCTCCAAGACCTCTTCATTAATGGGCGAACTGCACGCCATTAACAAAGCTGTTGATATAATTATACAAGATAAAATACAGAGGGTTGCTATTTTAACAGACAGCAAGAATGCTTGTATTACACTGAAAACGAACAGTGTGAATAACTATCTGGCGAACGAAATCATACGCAAAGTAAACGATTCAACTATAATTCAACTTACACTAGTCTGGGTACCGTCTCACATTGGAATCCCTGCAAACGAAATTGCCGACTATTACGCCAAACATGCACTTAATGCCGGATGCACCATCACAGCAAAACTCTCTGTTAAAGATGCTTATTCTTCAATCTACGACCACCTGTGGGAAGAATGGGTCCATAATTATAAAGAAACCTCTCAACATAAAGGAACTTACTTTTCTCTTTTTTCCCCTCACCACCAAAGAAACACTGGTATGCTGGAGCCAATTTCACTGCCGATGAAATTAAAATGTTTAACAGACTGTTTTCTGGCCATACGTATGGTAAAACATACTTATACAAAATGAAAATTTCGCCCACCAATTTGTGTGATACCTGCCAAATCGAGGAAACCGAAAATCATGCCATATTCAACTGCACCAAATATCGAAACGTAAGGAGAGATTTTTCCATCTTTACGAAATATCAAAACTTATATAGTTTTCTAAAAAAGGCAACCAACCAAGAATTCAAACAACTATACTCCTTCATTCAGAAAATAAAGTTAGATATTTAAGACGAATAATGTAATCAAAACAAAACAAAAATGAATAACCAATAAATAGCATTGGACTATGATTACTTCGGGTAATCGTCCAACTTTGCCTTTATGCGATTACCAAATCCAAAAAAAAAAAAAAAAACATTATGCGTGCCTATTTGTCACTTCTTTACACCGTCGAATTTTGTGTCTTTGACTGTGAAACATGCACGCGCAAAGGATTTGAAACTAAAGAAACAATAAGAATGGAAAAGGTATCCTACATGTCCCCTGTATCCATAAATATACGCACATAAAATATAATTTACTAAACATTCCCAAGATTTGAAAAGAAAATACAAAGGACAATCCACATATTTCAGACGCGAGCCTATTCCAAATACCTGCATGTCGTTTTTCCTCGTCTAGGATGACACAGAACTGAGATTATAGAAGAGTATGAGTTGTGGAAGTACAACAACACTTGAACTTTTCAGTAGTTCACATGATTTCCTAACACAACATTAAAAAATGGCTATATAAATTACACAAAATCAACTATATATCAAAATCGATATCACTGTCAACTCCAATAAGAAAACATCGACCAACTACAACTGTTGAAACAAATCTTAAACAACAAGACAGTAATAAAGACATCACCAAATGAAAGGTATCTCTTAAATCCTTGGAAAATAACAAAGCCAGTCTTGAATCAGATTCCGCTCCATTGGAATCTTTTGAAATAGCATCAATTAACTTTTTGTCAGAGGAACAGGAGGAAACTTATATTGCGGTACACTCTGTACGCACCATCAGGGCAGGTTATTTTTGGTATCGGTATATATAAGTCACTGTTTCTGTATAGCACCCAATTTTAAAAACTTTATGCAGGTTCAACGTAGCTGTACAAACGACAGATATAAATTGAGAGAGAATTCGTGTGGTTTGTTGTCACGAAAACGTAAAGGGCTGAGCAATACTGATCTTCATTGCTTCCACGAAGATGTAAAGGGTTTCTTAATTTTGTCAACACGTTTGTATAGCCTCGAAATATTCGTATATACCGGTCCACATTTTGCACTTTCGTACGAAGTGGCTGTAATTAAAAAAAAATCTGGTAAAAAAACACCGACAGGATAGGTTTTTATATTATAAGGTTATAGCCGTATTTTCCGACTGTAATTTTGGATTTGTCAATATTAAAATTTTCTCTTATTTATTTTTATATGCTACATTCTTTACCCTTTTAATTTGCCAAATTTAGACCTAGCAATGCTTAATGCCAATTCTAGACCTAGCAATGCTTAAAAATCTGTTCTTAGCAACTACTCCCATTTTAAACCCAGTCTGAATGAATGTAATAATAAAAAACAACAACAATTTTTTGATTTAAATATTTTATATTTTTCATTTTTTAAGATTAATTTTTTAATTTCTATTATAATATCACATTTTAGTTAAAGTTTTTTTAAGTGCATTGTAAAATATTTAGAATATTTTGCAGATTTTTTCCAATGGAAGACATAGATTGATAAGTTCTCGTGGTAAACAGACTTGTTTCTCAAGCTTGGGCCCAACGATCTTGCATGCAGGATAACTGATCAAAGACACTGTTGGTAGTCCAAAAGAAGGTACCTTGTTCGGTGCGAATGAAGTGAACTGGTACTGAGGAGGCGGATTTGTAATCGAATTCTTCCTCTTCGCTGCATAATTTTGCTGAGAGTTGTTCATTGATGTCATTTTCAAAAGATTCCATGGAGGCACAATCCGATTCTAGACTGGCGTTGCGGCTATTTTCCAATGATTCAAGAGATTCCATGGAGTCAGTAGCAACTTTTGTGGATTTTTGTTGTTTGAAGATTTGTTTCAACAGCTTCTTCACGCTGTAGCTGGTTTTCTTGTTCGAGGTGACGGTGATATCCATTTTGTTGTATTGTTGAGTTTGGGAAATTTCTACGCACATTTTGAATGTTTTGTGGAAGGATGTGTAATGTTTGAATGCTCAAAAGAGTATGATGTTGAATCCTTGAGAGTGTCTGGTATTTATACTCAGCCAGAAGAATTCTACAGGCAGCAGGTATTTGTAAAAATACCAACACTTGCAGACAATAGTCTGTGTAAAATTGTCTGTCCAAAGGATTTTCTGTTTTCCTTCTGAGCGTGGGAATGCTTGAGAAATTCTAACATTTTCAAATTGATAAAAACAAAAGGCATCTGTTCTGTGGAATTGTAGATTTAAAATTGTGTTGTTTTTTCTCGTTTCAAAAGGATGTTTGGGGACAGACAAATTCCTTCACAATGAAATAGAATTCAATTGGTTCGAAATGTTTCCCACGCCAGTACAGAGGCTTGCCAATGATTACTGGATATTGGTTTTCTATGTGGATAAGGTGATGGTTTTCTTGGGTTGTGGCAAACCTGCTGTCACATTGAATTGGTATAAATATTTCGTCTTTTAACCGTTGATGATGATTTTAGTGGGAGTGGGATTTATTTTATATAGTTTAATAATAGAATTGCTGTGAGGATATAATGCGTGCTAAGCATGAGCCTAACATGAGGATACGTAAAGCGGGCCAACACGTTCTTAACACAAAAATTAATGACACGATCTTTCTGTAAAAATGGCTTTAAAGGAGAAGTAACGCTGAAGTGACTATTAATTTCACTTGTTATAATGAATGCCTAGACAAACATTGATAGCGTATTTGTAAGTAACGTATTTCTTCTGGACTGTTTCAAATGATTATTGCAAATTTCAAATGCATTCTTTAACATAAAATGTATGACTTTGAGGAGTGCACATTTTATTTTTACTTTGAACATAGAAACTGTGTCACAAAAAAACAGTAAATATTATGTTTTTCATACCATTACTACGAATTATAAATTTTTAAAGGTTATTTCCTTTGGATAGAAGTAGGTTCTTGTCAGTCGAAGTACCTAATATTATTTTTATACCCTACACAACTATGTTGTCAGGGTATTATAGCTTTGTGTAGGCCCAAAAGTTTGTAACGCCGCGAAATATTGGTCCTAGACCCACCTTTAAGTATACCGATCGTCATATCTCGACTAGCTGAGTCGATCTAGACATGTGTGTCCGTCCGTCCGTCTGTCCATTATAATTTGTAAACTCGATACAGGCCACAGTTATGAACCAATCTTTCTGAAATTTTGCATGTAGAATGGGTTTTGGCCAATGAAGACCCCTATTGTTAATATTTACGGGTTGAAATGGACCAAAAACTTTATTTATATCGGTTTTTCTGGTCGCTCCAGAGGCCGCAATTATGACCCAAACACCGTGAATTTTTGCATGGAGAAGGGGATCGGGGCAAAGAATAAGCATGCCTATTTTGATAAAGATCGGTCAATATTTAGCCGGTCAAATAGACCCTCACTTTTGTGTGAAAAATTACAAAATTTGTATACTATTGTGTATATATCTGCCCCCTGAAGGACCTAGACCCGAGAAGTTGATAGTATGTTCAAGAGGAGTGGTTGACATTTAAATTGATACCAATTACATGGTCGTATGTACTCAGATGTGGGAGTTACACTTAAATATATACAGGTGCTTACGTATTCAGACATTATTTAGTAACCCATTACAACACTATAGGGCGGAAATATAGCGCTGATCGCTTTGAAATTTTCCATGAGGTTCCAATTATGGTCAAGGACAATGCCTTTAATTTTCGGTGATGATCAGATAATAATTTTGGGATGAAATGGACCAAAAACTTATCTTTTTGTGTTTTTTTTAGTCGATATATAGGTCACAATTGAAAGCCCAACATCACAACATAACCTACGGTAAAGAGAATTTGGACAAGTACAGCCGTCGTCTACTGAATATTAGTAATATTTGTTGACCTTTAGTTGGGTTAGATTTTCGTGGAAGTTGTGTAGGGTATCATATGGTCGGCCCCGTCCGACTATACAGCTCGGCTCACTGGTTTTAAATTATAAATGGCCTAAAAATTATGAGCGTCTAATTTTCGGATATTAGGAAACTAACTGTAGAGTCCCGATTTGCTCGTGATATCAGTTACGTGATTAGAAATGAGAAATGTTACACACTAATTATGGTTAACTATGCTTTGGTGCGCTTTATCCAACATGACCAACATTCATATACTAAAACAAGCCAGTAAGGATAGAAGTAAAGTCCCATCACCAGTTTTGATATATTATATACAGATTGGACAAACTTAAATTTGTGATCTGTATCTATATGTAAACCTACTTAAAGCAATCGATACACATGCCATTCTGCAGCCTGTGCTAATTTTCATTTCATTCGGGCAGATTTAAAAATGGTGCACAATTAACATGAAGTAGGTCGAAAATTGTGTATCTGCCCCAATTTGTACAAAGAGCCAATCTAGGCTCAATTTTATATGCAAAATTTCACTATTTACCTAAAATCGGACAAAAATATGTAATTAATCTGAACCTTTTTCAATAAAACTTGACACACCTTAGGCTATATTAATTTCAGTACATTGTAACACATTATGTGTCAATCGGGTGGAGTTTGGTGGATCCTTAACTTCAAATCGATCGAAATTATATATATATATATATATAAATCCGAATAAATTTCAACGAAATTTGCCATTCTAATAAATTTAGTACGTCTTTGTGCACCATTTTCTTAAAATCACACAAAACTATATATGGGAGCTATATATGAATATAAAGTGATTTTTCAATCGGTTCGTTCGTGGGTCAAATAAATGAGATATGTCAAATTTCATCAAATTCGGATCATAAATTTGACTTCCTTCATGTGCCCCGGACATTATAAGTGAGGAAATATCAATAAGACATCTGTAATATCAATCAGTTGTTTGAGTAGAACAAAATAGGTTTTATAAAAAAATATAAAAGTACGTTTACATTGTACCGGGTTTGGTTAACCCAGTGGGTTTAAATTGTCAATTACTTTGAATATATGTCAAATAAATCCTCATAAAACAGGTTAACCCGGTAAAAAGTTCTAATGTAAATGCCGTATAAGTCGAAAGAAAAATATCATGGATAGAGGGTATATTGACTAGTATAAGTCTATATCACACAGTTAAGATTTTGCTGATCTACTCAGGTTGTTTGAAATATGTGGAAATATCACAATATTATCCCAATAGGATTGCACACAACAACAACAACCACTAAACTATGACTTTCTACAATTTTATGTTGTTCGTGTTAAAAATTGTGGCCTATACACAAAAATGTAAGTTGTTAGTTCATTTAATGCCTCAAATATTGCGTAAAAAATTCAGCCTGTAGTTTGATTGCGAGTTACAATAAAAAGGACGGACATATATATATATATATATATATTATCATAATCGACTCAGCTGGTCCAGATATGGCAATTTAATGGTTTGAATTGTATTTCGAGAAATATGGGAACACATTGATTTATTTCTTTGTATTTTTCAAACCACGACATTCAAATATTCATAAACTACGGATATACGATATAGACACAAGCAATCTCTTAGATTTTTCGAGATTACATATTCTTGAAATATTCATTAACACAGTCTATTGATTGAAATGCCTGGAAATAATTGTTTTAAACTTTCATATGATGAAACCCAGAATGTAATAAAATCAAAAACAATAAATTTTTAATTATAATATTTTTATATTTAAAAGATTGATTTTCTTAATTTCTATTTAAAATATCACATTTAAGGTAAAGTTTTTTTAAGTGCATTGTAAAATATTTAGAATATTTTACAAGGTTTTTCGAATGGAAGACATAGATTGATAAGTTCTGATGTAAACAGACTTGCTTCTTAGGCTTGGGCCCAACGATCTTGCATGCAGGATAACTGCTCAAAGGCACTGTTGGTAGTCCAAAAGAAGGTACCCTGTTCGGTGCGAATGAAGTGAACTGGTACTGAGGAGGCGGATGTGTAATCGAATTCTTCCTCTTCGCTGCATAATTTTGCTGAGAGTTGTTCATTGATGTCATTTTCAAAAGATTCCATGGAGGCACAATCCGATTCTAGACTGGCGTTGCGGCTATTTTCCAATGATTCAAGAGATTCCATGGAGTCAGCAGCAACTTTTGTGGATTTTTGTTGTTTGAAGATTTGTTTCAACAGCTTCTTCACGCTGTACGATTTCTTGTTGGAGGTGACGGTGATATCCATTTTGTTGTATTGCTGATTTTGGGAAATTTCTACGCACATTTTGAATGTTTTGTGGAAGGATGTGTAATGTTTGAATGCTCAAAAGAGTATGATGTTGAATCCTTGAGAGTGTCTGGTATTTATACCCAGCCAGAGGATTGCTACAGGCAGCAGGTATTTCTAAAAATACCAACACTTGCAGACAATAGTCTGTGTAAAATTGTCTGTCCAAAGGATTTTCTGTTTTCCTTCTGAGCGTGGGAAAGCTTGTGAAAATGTTATATTTTTCAAATGGATAATAACAAAATACATCTGTTCTCTGAAATTGTAGACTTAAAATTTTGTTGTTGTTTACTCCAAATGTAAAAGGATATTCAGGACAGACACATTCCAATAGAAATAAATAAATTTCACTTGGTTTCGAAATGTTTCCCACGCGTGTACAAATGCATGCCAATGCTTCTTCTTGATATTGTTTTTCTATGTTGATGAGGTGATTGCCTTTCAGGGTTGTGGGAAATCTACCATCACAATGAATTGAAATAAATTCTATGGTTTATATTAACCGTTCATGTTTATGGCAGGGTGAGAGGAGTTTTTATTTAATATTGATTCGTGATTGAATTGGTGTGATGTTATAATGCGTGCTTAGCATGGGCCTAGCATAAGGATATGGAAAATAGGCCAACACGTTCGTAGCACCAATTTGGGCAATGACACGATCCTGCTATGTACTCGTAAGTGAACATTTAGTGCCGTTTAACTTCACCGAGTTTTTTGGCAAAACGACTCAGATCGTAATTGCAAATATTTGTGAACGAATGGAGGATATAAACAAAAGATTCTTGATATTTCACCTAACACAATTATGTAAT